GCAGGGGGGCGCGCTGCCTGGCATGGGCCGGGCCACGCAGGCGCTGGCCCCTCCGGTCCGTGGAATCACTGGGCTTTTCTAAAGGCCCTCGAGCCAACTCCCCACTTCCCCCACCAGCATCCCCTGCCCTGCCCCTGGGCCAGGCCCCGCCAGCCGACTGGGCTGCTCCTCACTCACCTGGCGTTAACGTTCCGTGTCTGTGACGGGTTTACACGTGTGTGAAATAAAGCCTAGGAGGAGAGTCTGACTCGCTGAGAGCCAGGGGAGGGACGTGCCCGAGCGGTGCCGCCTCCTGGCACCAGAGGGAGGGGGGGCAGCTTGCACACACCCCTTTGGGGCTGCCCCCCGGCATGGAACCTTTCCCTGCAGCCCTCTCGTGCAATAGCTGGGGCGTGCCCCAGGGGCTGGGGAGGTTGCTGAGCCAGGCCGAGGGTTCTCCCAGTCCAATGGCCGTGGACGTCCCGCAGCCCCTCCCGCGTTCATTCGCCCTCGCAGCCAGAGATGGGGTCGGTCAGATGGGACTCCGGTGAAGAACCCGCCCCGGGATTGCTGGGCCAGCCCCTCGCTTGCGGGCGAGCTCCCGGGGCGTTCGAGCCCTCCCACCTGGAGTTGGGGCTCGTGCGGTGGACACCCCCCGCTGCCTGGGCCGTTCCAGGAGCCAACTGGCCTTCCTGCTAATCACCGGCACCTTGTTTCCAGCCTGCTGGAGTCAGGCCAGTGTCCCTACCCCAGTGAGAGCTCCGCCCACCCCTGCCCAAGGGACGCAGGGGCCCTGTGACAGCGGGATCAGCTTCCTCCCCCTCCCCGCCCCTGCAGGGAACCAGGAAAGGGAGCTGGTGTGCAGGGAGCCCTCGCCCTCGAGGGGGAGCTGCTGGGGCCCTGGGGTCGTGTGTGAAACCGAAGGAGGGTTTACAGCCCAGCACGTAGGCCCCCGGGAGTGCCACACACACAGCAGCTGGCACGCTGCCCCAGCGTGCTCACAGGGCCAGGGTGGGACCAAATTCAATGGCCCACCAAGCGCAGGAGCAGAGGGCTCAGGTTTCATTACACGCCCCAGCTTTTATTTTAAACTCAGCTGCCCCGGCTGTACCTGCCCCGGGACCCAGGACCCGGCCCCCGCCCCGAGC